ATATGGACTAATAACACTCATCTGACAATGCTACGTCCTTGGTCAACCATGAGCATGATGTAGCGGATGGGATGAGGATTTCCAGGTTTGTGGTCCATTGAGTATGTTTGAACATGGTTCTACTGTATAATAAATTGAAGAATCTGGAAGAAAATATTTTTTTTCAAATTAAACAGTGTATTTGCTTATTACTGATAGACTGAGCCCCATGCCTTTGAAAAGATCAATTCAAGCTGATATGTGTTTATGGCATTTGTTTTCTACATTGGATCCTATTTTTCTGAGCTTTTCTGGTAGTCTACACCTATCTCTCTAAATAGATCAGGGAAATAATCTATCTAATCTGTTGTATTTCTAAGGTTCCTATCACTGAGGTACCTGAGGTTCTTATGCTGCACTGACTGGCACCTTTGTCATTGACTTCACTGAGTGAAAGATCAGGGCCCAAGTGTGGAGCAACATGAAATGTAGCTTAAAGCATGCTCAGAGACAGTCTTTCTGTTTCCTCACTTTCCCATTCCTTCTCCACCCTCTTCTTCCTTCCTCTCTTCTGGCAAGTCTTTTTTTTCCCCTTATTCCCCCTTCCACCTAGTGTGGGAGGTGGAAGGGCATGATGCTAGTGGGGAAAGATCTTCTTGAATAGGTGGTGAACATGGTTAGGCTGAGGCTCAGTCTCATCCTGTATAGTAAGGCATTCTGTAAGTGGGAGTTCTTTGTCCAATCATCCAAGAATCTTATCCTGGGCTATTTTAGTTGAAGTTTTCCTGCAGAGGGCAGCTGCTTTGCTGGGTCGCAGATGGATAGATAGTTTCTTCTGTTGCCTGGTCCTAGGCCATTAAGGACCTTGTTGATTTGGAGTATGACTCTGAATTTAAAGCAGAAATGTATAAAGTGCTAGTGGAGTTTGCAAAACAATGGTGCAGTTTGTTCTGATTTATCTTTGTTGCTCAAAAGACAGGCTGCCATGCGACGTATTAGTTGTAGTTTTCACTTGGTATTTCCTCGCATCCCCTGGTGAGAATGATTAGTGGTAGTTTGAGCTGTGGATCACAGTGGGTATAGTCTTGTCTGAGAGGAAGGGGTGGAATCTCGTATCCTGTCACAAATGGTAGAAAGTGTTCCTCACCACTGTTGACAATGCTGTGTCACTGGGAGCTGTGAAAAGTACAGCATGACCCTGAGGAGTCACACAAACCTGATAATCAGTGATCAATTATCCTCAGTCAAAAGCTGAGGTCAATGTTACAACAAATCCCTCTAGGGATTCTCTCTTCTTTCCGTAATCTTTCTTTCAAGAGAGCTGTTTCTGTGCCATATCTCATTCTGAAATTTGATTGTCAGGGTTGAGAACACTGGAAGAAGTTATGTGCTGCTGGAATTTAGTTGTTACAAACTTTCTCAATAATTTTGCTCAGGTAGGGCAAATTGGAAATAGGGAAATAGTTTGTACAGGTTTCTGCAGAATTGGTAGGAAAATGGCATATTTCAAGGGGGCTAGAAGCATGCTATCTTCTGAAGGAGGCATTGATATCTGTATCAGGGGACATGATTTCCCTTTACATTCTCTGGATCATTCTACCAATGCTGCTCTTAAAATATTCTAATATTTTCTTTTGAAATGCATTCAAGATTGCTTACATTTTTCGCTTTAAGGCAAACTTAATTTAGTTTTTACTTTGCTGCATAAGTAGGATAGGATTTTTGGGGCAGAGAAGAATGTGTGTGAATGTGCTATAATAGGAGAGGCAGCTTCTAATATATAATAAAGACTGCATAATGATTTACATTCTAACTCCCTGTGCTTTACTTGCTTACAACTTTCTGAAACATTTACATTTCAGAATGAAATTTTCTGGCCTTGGTGTCTGCCCAAAGATTAATATATTTGGAATGTTTCAGCAAAACTGGTTCAGTCATTCTCGAATATCAGAAGCATGAAAAATACATTTCCCATTCTAAAATAAATTACTGAAACCTTTCTATGACTTAATCAGCAGAAGGTTGAAAAGTGAAATCTGGCATTGGAGTAGCTAGCCCTTGTTGAGCAGAAGGGCCTTTGCTTTTTCCAGAGGAAATTACTTTGGATTTGGCTGAGTTATAAGCCTTTGAAAATTGCATAGTGAGCATGTGCAGTACATTATTTTGCTAAGCTTGTAAAGTGTGCGGCTATGGAAGGATTTGCTGTGCATGCACGGGTGGCTAATTTTGCTGTGGAATGAAAAGTCTAGTAATGGGACCATATGTTGCTGTGAATCAGTGAGGACACTGCAGGGGCTGCAGGAAGGTCTTCGAAAATCTGAATGAAGATCTTGAGGTTGTGAAGGAGGCAAGGAAGGAGTCTCATGGACTTTGTAAGCGGGAGTAGCAGTTTGTGGCTCAGGCCCCTTAGACCTTGTAAAGTTAAAAGAGATTGGGAAGGCTCCATATTTTAACACTTTAGACACCAGTGTGTGACGTTTTCTATGTGAAACAATTTGGTCGTTAGTACTGTTACTGGGTCTGTTAAATCTTCTTTGTATATGCTCCCTGGCTCAAAACCTGGCAGATCTGAACTGTTCAGTTAAGGAATCTTCCAGGGGCATAGGGCTGGCATACATGTTCCTACCTCAGCTGTGGCATAGTGGGTGTGGCCAGGGACAATCACTGGCTGCTGTGGCTGCCCTAAACTACACCGAGAACCAGGCCAGTGAAGAACTGGCCCCAGGATTGACCCTAGCTCCTTTGCACCTCCTCTCCTCATCCCCTCCTGCATTCAACATGCTTTGGGGGCACCTGAGAATCTCTCTCATAATGTTTATATGGCTCACTGTGGCTGAGACCTCTGAGAAGTGTACCTCCTCACTCCAAGGAATGTCAATCATTTTGTTCCAAAAGTTCCACATGAATTGAGTGTCTCCCTCAATTTTATTGTTGAAAATTATTTACTTTCAAAACTAAGAATCATGAAACTGAATTTACAGAGTCATTTGCACTAACAGGATAAATCTCTTTGCACCATTTTAAGTTTCCAGCATCAATAATTGTTTTGTGTTCCTCATTTTGTGGGAAAATCTACACTGCAATCAAAGCTGTGATCGCATCATGTGTAGACATACTTGAACTAGCTTTCAGCTAGCTAGTATGAGAACCAATAGCAGTGAAGCCATGAAAACATGGACAGCCACATGGGCTAGCCGCCCAAGGGTCTTGGACAGGCTTGTACAGCCTGCACCAAAGCCAATGCTGTTGCAGTTTCACTGCTATTGATATTTGCGCTAGCTAGATTAAAGCTAGCTTGGGTATGTCTACTGGTGCTGTAATCACACCTGCAATTGCAGTGTAGATATACCCTTTGTCACACATTGTATCCCACATTCAAGCCTTGGGAGGTTCTATGAATGAAATCTTCAGATGCTGAACAACTACAGCACAGGCAGTCAGCCTTGGTATGAAAAGATCACCTCTCAGCTTCCAGGTCTGTGTAGTCTTCAGCCTCTCTGATGAGACTGTCAACAAAGTCTCTTCTTGGGTGAGCAGCAGGGGCAGATTTTTACACTCCTTTCCTAATGGCTACTGTTTTTTCCCCCTGCTAATGTAACAGAGCTTTTGCCAGCCCTAACACTGGTCCCTTGCCACATTCCCATACTGCTTAGAGTCAAGTCTACTAGAGACTGGCAACAGATACTGCAGCCATTGGTGCAGATGGACTGGCAGAAGGGCAGCAGGATTGGCAGAGGCTGTTGGCATCAGTAGACAGAAGAATCATAGAAATATGGGACTCTGTCAGTATATGCAGCAATAAAATGGACTAAAGTTTAAAAAAAACTTGGTGAGATGATAGAGCAAACCTTTAAAAATCATGAATGTCAAGCCTAATCGGATACCATGATGCTGATATATATGCTGTTTGTTTGTTTTTTTTGGTGTTCTTTTCAGTTTCACATTCTTGTTTTATGTTAGCTCACTGTGAGAGCAGATGGCAGTCAGAACTGAACAACAAGAGACCGGTGGCACCAAAAGGGGCCCAGCAAGTGACAAACAGAAGTCAGCAAATCCCAGCGAGAACCAGGAGCAGCGTGGCAGCTATTTTGGGCTGCTTAGGGGTAGAGTTGAGGTAAGTGGTGGCCCCACCAGAAGGCAAGGGAACAGTGTCAGGAAGAGATGTCTCAAAAGCAACAAGTCAAAGTATGGGTGTGGGGCCCTGCATGGGTGGCTTACCCTTGTGGGAGGCTCCAGGCAGGCAAGGAAGAAGAATCCCTGTACAACCTCCAAGCCCTGCTAGAAGGATTTAACATTTAAGGTTGGAGTATATCTTAAAGATTTCTTACCTATTTGAATAAGAGTCTGTGCCAGGGGGTTGCACGGATTTAACTAAATCAGTTTCTAAACCGATTTAGTTAAACCGATGCAGTTTTCTCCTGTAAACGTGGTCTAGGTCAGAGTGGGTTACAAATAACAGGTCAACTGGCTAAACTTTCCGGAGAAAAAGATGACGATTCAGTTGTAAACTCTTCCTGTAAACAGCACCACTTTCTTCACAGGTGCCTCCCCGCTTAGGTTAGCCCCTTCCCTCCTTCGATAAAGATTCCCTTTATGCAAGCGTGCCTCTGGCTCAGATGCCTGCGGCTCCGACGAGGGGCCAGCCCTTCGGGGAGCAGCGCTGCGTTTGGGTGAGAAACTGATCCCCACGCCCCCTTGGCGCTTTATTCCCCCCCGGCTGCCCGTTACGCCTGTCAGGACAGGGCGGGGCAGGGCGGGGCGGGCTAACCCTCCCTCTCCCAGAGTCCCAGGCCGGCAGCCCCAGCGCCAGGCTCACGCGGCGCTCGGAGCAGGTGGCTCGCGTCACGGGAGGCTGGCAGGAGCCCCGCCCTCCCAGCCGGCGGGGCGGGGCGGGGCGGTGGGAGGCCCAGCGTGATGTAACCATGGAGACGCCACTCGTCCTTCCCTGCCCCGCCCCTTGTGGGGCCGGGCGGCTCGGGATTGGCCGGGGGGCGGGCGCTCGCCCTCTGCCCCCTGACCCTGCGCGGCGGCGGCGGCTGCTGGTGGCCGTTTCCTGCTGGCCTGGCGGCGGCTGCACGGGGCGGGCGGGAGGATGCGGCGCAGGTCTCGGCTGCTGCTCTGCTTCGCCTTCCTCTGGGTGCTGGGCATCGCCTACTACATGTACTCGGGGGGCAGCGCCGCGCTGGCCGGGGGCGGCAGGAAGGTGAGTGCGAGCCCGGGGGGCAGCGGCGCGAGTCGGCGCGGCTCCCTTCCCCCGGCAGCGCCTCCCCGCTCCCGGGGCCTGTGGCGGTCTGGTCCCCTCCCTCCGGTGCGGGGGTTCCCCGGTCTCCCCAGCTCGTGTGGTCCGCGGTCCGCTTCCCCGCCACGCAGCCCCTTCCCTCCCCGGGCGTATGTGGGCTCCCCGCGGCGTGGCGACGTCCCCCTTCCCCATAGCGACCTGCTGGGGGGCCCCTCGCAGCCCGTGTTGTGTGTGTCGGGGCGGGGGGGTCGCCTAGTCTCCCGGGCTTCCTCTACCGGGTGCCGGCGGCTTTCTCCAACCTCCCCTCAGTGCTGTCTCTGCTCCCTCCTAAGTGATGTGACCCCCGGGGGTGGGCAGGGAGAAGTTGGGGGAGAGGGGGATTCATTTCTTTTCCCCTCTGCCTCCTACGAAGGAGGGGAAGGGGGTGGGTAAAAGCTTGTGTCACCCCCTCCTCCCTCAGCACGTTTTAAAAGGCAGATGGTTTCTTTGTGGACTTCAGACTGGTTTCACCTCGTCATTGTATGGATCGCTCCTTCTCCAACTGCAACGAGCCACGTCCCAGGCTGTAGGGAAGTTTGTGTGGGAGGGTAGAGAATGGGGGCCGGGCCTGGGGCAAAGAGGGAAAGGGCAGGAAGAGCTGTTCTGACTAGCTATTCACCCATTGGAAAAAGCAACTGGTTAATTACATTGTCTCTTAAATATTATTTGGTCGGTAGCTGGGATGAAGTCCCCTTTCTGTTTTCTCCTCCTCTCTCTGGCTCCTCTTCTGCCACCCTTGCTTTTCCGCCTCTTGTTGGTAATTGCAGAGCCTCTCATAATAATCCTCTGTTCTTTTGTGTGTGTGTGTAAGAGGGTGATAATTCGGTTGTTCCACTTTTCAACCTAGAGAGGATAAATATAATTTTAATCACAACAGTGGATATTTTTTTATTTCCCTGTCCCTTATTCCTCATTTTTCTAAACCTTATTTTTGCAGTGCTTTAACAAAAAGAGCCTGACTTCTCAAATGCCAGCTTAGATTGAGCTGGTGCTCCACTCCCTTTTTTTTAGTGGCTTAATTAATAATGCCTTGAAACTGCCTGACTAGATACAATTCAGAAGTCATTTAATGTAATCGTGTACTGTGACTTTTTAAGTAAATATTTTATAATATATTGTAACACTTCATTTGTCATGGAAATGTCAGGCTTTGGTTAGGTACTTTTATAGTCCACTTTCATATGGGTCCAAAGATCTTTAGACAGGATAACTTTTTTAAAATATGAAACTTTAATTTTTGCAGTGTCAAATTAACAAAATATGTAAAATAAGTTTTATATTATTAAGACTAGCAAAGCCAGGAAGTTTTGACTTTAAAAAAAGTTATGGGTAGGGGTAGCAAAATTGTCAGAACGTTTGTTATTTTGTACATATGCTCATGTCATATCATGTAAAAAACCAGGGTAACATTGTTTAGCTAGGAATTTGCCTTTTAAATCCAAACCTTAATTCTTTTTGAAGTAATGTTTCACAATTACAAGATGGGTCTGTATTTCCCATTAACAGTTGATGGAGTTTGAATAGGTATTTTCAAGATGGACGTCTGCTGAGGGACAGATCCTACAGTAAATCTTGAAGTAAAATCATGTTATTCCATGAGTAAGAGTTTGTACAACAAGGGTCTGCATCTGAGTTAATGTTTTGCCATACTGTCTTTTCATAGTTCAAAATGAATTTACTATGCCGTAACTATTGAATAAAACTTTAATGTTATAACTAAATATTAATGTATAACTGTAAATACAAACCCTTCTTCTTAAACAGATACAGAGGCCATAGCCAAAATAAGTCTAGCATGTGATGGAATTAGGGCAGTGGTCTTAAAAAGCTCCTTTGTTGAGAGTGCATACAAGTGTATTTAGTAAGTAGAAATAGGCTGCTGATAGTATATAATCGAGGCAGGGAAAATTAGCTAGGACAAAAATGTTAATATTTAGAGAAATTAATATCAAGGGAAATATACTTGACACGTTATTTAACTTCATTAATACTAAGAGGGCTGTGGTATTGATCCTTTTTTCCAAATTTCATGACCAGTTACCATTCCATACAAAATTCAATAAGTCTGAATAGTTGGGAGAGTTACAGCAAAGAGGAGCCGAAAACAGAGAAGAGTTAATAAGCATGGACAGGGATTTAGCACTGGATTAAAATATGCAAGACTAAAGTAATGCCTGGTACAGAGGAAAATGGGTATTGGGGCAATAAGAAACAAGTGGGGAAATTAACAATTATAGATGGATTGGTGATTTAGGATTCTGTTTTCTGTCAACGAAGCATAAAATTTAATCCCAACCCTTAGAATGGTTTAGTGAATGTAAGTAGAGGAAGAGATGTGTGAATGTAATTGCTTTTGAAATATCAGTAAAAGACTCATTGACTTAAAATGTCAGATCCTGAAATAAAGCAAAAACACACTCTTAGCTTTATGAATAGAAATGCTGCTGTGGTGAATTTCTTGGTCTAGATGACTCTGTAGTCCTAATTGCTCTCAAACTATTTCAGTACGGCAAAAGCACAGAAGAGTCTTTTGTGGAATATCAGTTTTAGTAGACTGAGTTCTTGGCTTGCTCAGTCTACAAATTACAGAACTGGGAAAAGGATGGTTCATAATTATATAATTAAAAGTTAGAATGCAAATTACTCAGATCTCATTCATACAAAGAACATATGCTTATGTTAGGATGACAAAAAAGTACAAATCTAGGGAATAATAATCCAGATCTATTGAATTTCGTGGTATAGGCCCATGTTCTGCAAGGTGATGAGGTCAAACAATTCCCATTGACTTCAGTATCTTTATTGATTATTTGTACAATTGTAGCCTAGGGACCCTAGTCATAGACCAGGACCCTATTGTGCTAGGTGGTGTACATACAGAACAAAAAGACAGTCCCTGCCCAAAGGGCTCACAATCCAAGTATGAGACAAGAGACACTGAAGTATATAGACAGATGGGGGAGTTTAAGTAAACAGTGAGACAGTATTGGTTAGCATGATAAACAGTGGTCTGTGCACAGCCTAACTTGTCATATTTTTTTGTAGACATTGTGGCAGCAGAGTGTCCTTAGGAGGGATATGAATGTGGATAATGAGGTAGCTTTGTGGATGTTTACAGGAAGTGTCTCCCAAGCATGTGGAGCAGCCCGGGAGAAAGCACAACTTTGACGGTGCTCACAAAGGTGCATGATTGGGCCCATTGAGTAACCAGGACTTCAGCTTTTTCCCTTATTAGAATTGTCTGACATCCTTAATTTGTGTTTCTGTTTCTTTGGTTCTCCACTTGCTGTCTTTCAGTGCTTGCACTGCCTTATAAAGAATGTGTGTAGCTAGTAGTGTATACTTCTACTGAATTAAGCTATTTGGGTTCTATATAAGTAATGTGCTAAATAATGATGTGCATCAAAAACCTAAACATGGCTTATCAGAAACACAAACCTTGTAGTAATTTGGCTACAGTTTTGGGGGATGGTGAACAATGGTTGCCTTTTATGATGTGGGATATTTGATTACTTACTGTTTCAAAAGTAGCATACTTCTGTGATTTATTTAGCACTCTTTTGCCAGCAAGTTCTGCATATTCATTCTCATTCAGAACAAATAAACTTTCATGACTGCTCCCATTTTCAAAGCTGGAAAATATGTCTTCTGTTGGAGGTACGAAATGGTACACTAGTTATTACGTGGATAATGTTTCACAGGGATTCTGCTCAAGTTAATGTAATGTTAAGGCAATCATAAAAAGGCTGTTACCCAAACATATTAGGATTTGCTTGGCTTTCTACAGCTATGGAAGAGAATGGGTCTATCAGGCCAGAAGCTCCCCTTTTTCCACCCAAAGAGCAGCAGTTGGAGGGTCCCTCATTATTTTCACCTAAGGAATCTCTGATAATTGGGGTGAGCGGGGCCACTACACTGCAAGTAGAACTAGGAGCCACTCAGCTCATCATATGGGTAACTCTGCAGGATCGTCTTAAAGTTCAAAGTAAAAAAGTTTGTAAAATGGTTCCAGGATTTGTTAATCTCTGTTATTCCAGGATGTTTTGTGGCCTAGTAAAACTAGAGGGATTCAGAATTACAATTAGCTGAGCCGCAGGGAGGCAGGCTACTCCTGAGCTGGCTGTGTGTCTCCTCTCTACAGTTGATTTTTCTACCCCTTCACCTCCCCCCGCCCTTTCTGGTTTTCTGAAATGGACAGATTCTTGATAGCTTGGCTTACCATGGAGCAAGCAGAAAAGGAATGAATCAAAGAAAAAGGTTATGCCTTAACTCAAGAGTATATCTGTTCATTAAAAGTAAATCAGTCAGGGGATGGGGTGCTTCTATGGTAGCTCAAGGCTGACAGGACTTTAGCATTGTGCCAGTTAGCAAATGCAGCATATCTCTATAATGTAACTTTTTTTTTTTTTAAAACCAGGACATTAAGTACAATAATGTTAAATGAAGCATATATAACAAGTATGAAGGCGAGAACAAGAAAACTACATATAGAAATATGACACTTCAAATTCATTTTTGTAAGTTTAAGTGGAAACAAAAGGAAATGTTTTTCTCTAGTTTTTCAGTAATTGTAGTCTGTCTTGTTTTAGCCTACTTTTGTCACCAAAAATGAAACTTCCCGATAAGTGGCATTTTTAATTGACAGTGTCCATTTTAAGTTATAGCATAGGACACGTCAAGGAACGTATATAGAGGCTCTGGGCTGTTTTGGGAAAACGTATTTTAAAAAAGTGTGGGAGCTGCACGGAGCCTTCTCAACTTGGCCTCTGTTGCTTGTGTTTGAGGTAGGCCTTTCTGCCCATCTTATAACTTGAGGATTCTGAACATATAGCTACACAGGGAATTTGAGTTTGGGCTGCTATCATTTGAGAAAATAACTCCTTATCCTATTTGTTCTTGGATTTGGTTTGTTAGTATCTCAGTGT